GGGACCAAAATGCAAATAACCAAAATATGACCCGAGGCCAACTCAAGAGCGGACATGAGTTTAATCATAAATTGAGAAAGACATGGAATGATTTGAGAAAAAGAATGAACAAAAGAGGTCAAAACAAGAGAAAAATGAAGATTTTAGGGCACCTATTTAACCCTAAACTCATCCAAAAAAGGGGGTCACGCCTTCTTAGAGAGAAAAACGACATTGAAGAGCAAGAACGAAGGCTAGGATGAAGAATTTCATTTCAAGATCTAAGATTTCGAGTTTTATATTGAAGAATTTGGTGATGTCTTCTCCTAAATATTTTCTTTGCTATTTTATTTTATCCATGCTAGGCTAGATTTTTATTGTATTAGGTGAACGATGAATCTCGTAATGTGAACTTTTAATTCTTTGTTTTGCAATTTGATTTTAAACACGAATGATGAATGTTGAATGATTTGTATACACTTTATTTGTCTCCATAATTAAATGCATGTGATTATGTGAGTTTGGGTGGTTTATTTCTGGCATTCGAAAGAAGGGGAATAGATTCTACAGTGTATAAATCATCGTAGGGTTCGATAGGGGATAGAAATATATCCCTATGCTTTACATGAATCTTTAAGTGTTCATAAAACATTATGCGTTATTGTATATTGGCATTTGTCATAGAAATATAGTCAAATGGTATGCGAGAATAGGTTTGACTCCACTCGAAAGAGAATGTTGAATATTTTAGGAATATTGATTCTTCAATCAATTCACCGTGCTATCAAATTGTGAAATAAAGGTTAAAAGTGAACTTACTTGTCGATTCGGGATCCTAGTACGCTTTTCATACATAAATTACTTCAAGCATTTGCATTCAAACGTTATTTTTGCATTTAGTTTGTCTACTTTCATATAAATTTGCTTTCGTAGTATAATTTAGATAATTTCATACGTGAATCATCTCATTGAATCTACTTAGTTTCGGTTAAGGTCGAGATAATCAAAACTTGAACTAACTCAATTTCTGTGGGAACGATAATTGGACTTCAAAACCCATTTTTATTACTTGAACGATCCGTACACTTGCGGTAATCAAATTCGAATACATTTTCGACGTGTCAATTACCAACAAGGTTATTCCTTGACATACAAACGATCAAAGTGTGCTTGCCCATTGCTATACATTGAAAAGTCTATTTCGGTGAATTTATGAATTTGTCTCAACAAGTAACATTTCCTATGTTAAGAGTATTGAAAACTTTAAAATATGAACCCTATGAGTTGACCTAAAGAATGATTTGTATGGCATTGTGTAGTTTGTGTTCCACAAGGCAAAAGTATGTGAAAATGGCAGTATACCTTTTCGTTAATTAAACATTTCTCTAGGCGTGTGACAATTATAAAACCAAATCTGCACAAAGAGCACTCTGCCATTGAAAGACAAGCAGATTTGACCGTAGATAATAGAACATTTCTTCTGTATGCCCAATTTCTTAGCCTCCTCCACCTTCTTCATTTGGTGCTCCCCATTTTCAAAATGAAATATAACTAATTCTATCATAACAAATGCAAGACAATACTATAGAAGCTAAAATGCATAATGGTTAAGGCAAACGAAAATTTAAAAACCATAGAGTCTTCCACTTCCCATTCTACAGTCCGCCAAGAAGAATACAATATTGCCTAGGTGCTTCTATAGACAGGATAACAGTGAGCCTCTTCACCAGGTTCAGATGGCATAAATCGACGATCGTTGCTGCGTACAAGCCACAACAGATATAAACGTAGTTGTTGGTGATGATATTGTAGTATATGTTGTTGGAAATTGAATGAAAAATTAGATACTTTTTTAGTTTCAGAAAAACGGAACTTTTTATTTCAGCCATTACTT